TTTCAAACCAAATGTAAACAGGGAATTGTGGATCCAATGCTTTCGATATGGGGTCAACAGATCATTGTTCATGAAGATACAACTCAGTAAGCTGACAAATCGATCTCTATATGGGGCATACTTTAATCGGATTCTTCACATCCATTGCAGAATATCAAAAATCTTTTGCTTTAGTCATAAAGGTCATGGATTGTACATGGCATCGCCCACCGAAATTCAGAAATTCACGATATCATCGGAATTTTGGTAAGAGCCAATTGAGATTAAGAACATCTATATTATCTATAATATATTCATATATCTGATTCTTTTCATACAGTCAATTTATTTTGGAGATGATGGGTGATTTATATACGGTACACGAAATGCCCGAACAGCCGAAGGAGGGTTTCTTTAAGGGTCTATTTGGCGGTGGAGCCAAACTTTTGGATCGCGAAGAGTTGTGTAAGTAATAGATAAGTATAAATATATATAGTAGGAATGAATGAGATGCAATGGAGAGAAGCGAAGATAGAAAGGGGATAGAAAGAAGAAGATAATTTTTATTATATGTAAGAGTTCAGCTGAGAAGACAAGAGTAGACAAAATAGAATGGCGAGAGAATAGAAGAGAAGAGAAAATAAGAGGAGAAGAGGAACGATTAGAGAAATAAGAGAGAAGATGAACTCCAAGAAGAAAAACAGGCAAAAAGAACAGAAGGTAGGGGATAAAAAGAGAATCTGAGACCAAGAAGAGCAGATAAAAAGAATAAGAAATGATTAAAAAGCAGTAAAAGACAGAGGAGCGAAAAAGGAAGAGAATCTATATCTTGGAAACACTCTTATATACATCCATATATGTCTTTGAAGTTTCAGAATGGAAAGCATACTTATTATCATTGAAAATGCTAAATTATTGGCGTAGATCTCGGATATCTTTTGTAGTAATACCCGTTCCTTGAACTCTCTCCCCGATAGTTGGTGAACAGAGCGGGAAAGCAAATCGTTCGGTTGCCCGTCATATACCCGGCCCCAACTTGGAGCAGCTGGGCCAACGGGCGTCGACGGCCGCCTCGGAGATCAGTCGGGCCCATCAGCTGGCGATGGAGCGTGGCGAGAAATTGAATTTGTTGGAGGAGCGCGCGGAGCGTATGGCCAATACAGCTCAAGATTTCAGCGGTACAGCGCATCAATTAATGCTTAAATATAAAGACAAAAAGTGGTATCAGTTGTAAAATATCTATTTTAGGAGCCAATTCTACCACAGTTATTGTAATATTGCTTTTATAACACTTTCTACTACATTACGAGTAAAGTACACTTATTTAATTTCTGTTTTCAAGTCGTCACGTTATTTACAAACAAAAAAAAAAAAAAAACAAACAAAAAAAAACCAAAAACAAAACCAAAAAACAAAAAACCATACAAAAAAATGTTTTTAATAAAAATATATAGACCAAAAAAAAAAATAACAAATTCCATTGCTTTCGGCTGATCAGAAAATTGGGGTTTTCCAGAAATTTCGCTGGCTAAAGGAATCCACTTTGTGTTTATATAGGGCGTGGGCATGAAAAAGAAAGCAAATATAATATTTGCATACGTTTAAGTATATAAAAGCTTTTCAAAAAGCGCGCCGCAAGTTCTTTGGCGCAGACCCATGATTTTTTTATAACATCTAGAACAGTCTCGAGGGCAGCCAAGCATTCGGCAAGCCGCGCTATGGAATACAACAATATTTACATAGTTAGACACCCAAATTGGTACTGGCTACTTATTTACATAAGAGAACAAATACAATAATTGATTTTTTGGATCGTTTCCTTTAAAGTTCAAAGCTGGCGACAGTGTGGCAGTGCCTGCCAAAGAAAACACCACGATAAATCTACATACGGCGTTATGCAGCACTGCACTAGTCTGGCTGCTCTGCGCTGTTATTGCTGTTGACATGGCCTATCGCGGTATCGTGTTGTGATAGTCGATAGTCGTGCGTGTGTATCGCTGGCTGTCAGCACTAGCAAAAGCATTTTTGCTGGAGTCTAACCATTTTATTTTAGTTAATAAAATCACATATTTCCTCTTTTTTTCGTTGTACGCGTATGTAAAGTGCTAAATGACATTCACGCGAAAGTTGCGAGTGTATTAACGGGCCACCTCGCTGTCACAGACGCAAATTTCCTACGAAATTTCACATACTCACACATACATATATACATACACATAAACACACAGGCACACGCACACACGCATACACTTGCATATATAAAAATTTTTTTATTTTTTTTTGTCGTTCGTTTTGGCCCCCCTCGTACAATAGTAAAAAGCCAACCTTGAGAAACACCCAACACAGCAGTTTTAAACCGTTTCACTGATGTTCGCAAACGTTTCGTGGTAAGATTTGATGCCAAAATAAGGAAATTACCGAACAAGGAAATAAAATGGAAAAGCAAATTTGAACAAGTTTACTGCAAACGATCTACGAAAATGTAAAACAAAGCGCAGCATGCGTTCAAATGCGGGCTAACATTTGACTTAATTTTTTCTTTTGTGTCAAAAAAAAAGGCGATGGAAAAGAAACATGTAAGGTGCAGTAGTGGAAACTGGCTGCAGCTGTGTGCGTGAGTGTATGTGTACATATACACCAATGCAAAAGTGTTGGTGCTGCTGCGTTTGCATATACATATATGTTCACACGTGTGCGTGTGTGTGTGTGTGTGTGTGTAAAGTGCATTCCAACGGGGTAAAAGAAGCGGAGCATGTAGTTCTCCCGTTGACGCTGTTGTTGTTGTTATTGTTCTATACCTGCCATTGTATCTGGGTGATTAGTTGTCGCAGTTCTTTATCGTTTATCAGTGGCTCTGTTTATATAGAAATCGGCAATTATGAAAATAATTAATCGAACAACAGCACAGTCTGTTTATGTCTGCTGCCAAGGGGGCCACCTGACACTGCTCCTCACCAGAAGCCCATGGCTGTTGTTGCTGTTGTTGTTGTTATCCAGCACTTGCACAAACACATGCACACGCGCACGCATTCAGTATATCGACTATCGATTCAAAATGTTAATTTCGTTATGAAAATGCGCAATATTAGCAGGCGAATGTTTCCACCCTTTAAGGTTTTATTTTTATTTATTTATTATTTTTGAAGCGAATCGCTTAGCGAAGCATAAATACCAAAGAGAGTGCAGCGAAAATCAAAACAAAACAATATAGCAAGTGTGTGTTTTAGCGTGCGTGTATATGTACATATATGTGTGTGTGCGTGCAATAACAAACGAACGAACGGAGCAACAGCAACAACAAATAACTGGACAAAAAAACAACGTTCGAAAAGAAAGTGCTTGTGCTTATGCCTTTTGCTCCGTTGGCGCCAATAAACAAATGAATACAGTTATTGTTTTTATTTTACATTTACGTCTTCAACAGATTTCGTCTATAAATTAAAATCAAATAT